CTAGTTTAAAAGTAGACAAATTTGAAGAAAAAAGAATAATCAATCATTATTTTTTTAAATAGGTCAAAAACTACATTTCAGCTAGTAAATAGCACTGCTTTTCAAATCGCGATGATGGTTTTGGTTCTACTAAATGCGTTGATCAATGCTTCTTTTGTCTATCGGCATGACAACTCAGACATCATCAGGAAGCAGATCTACTATTATGTGGAGGTTAGCCAGAGATCATGAATCTATTCAGAATTTTACGAAACTTTTTCAAGGTTTTTTTCAAACCCGCCCGCAACTTTTACTATTCTGATAGGTTCATATTTCAGATCTGCTTTACCATCATCTTCAACATTGAAGCACTGATCAAAATAATTGGTTTCGGTTGGAAAGGATACTTAAGACGTGGTCAGCATAAATTCGAGTTGATACTTTGCGTTGGTGAGTATGATTTCATCAATGCTTTATTGAAAATTATTCCCATTTCTCAAATTCTCAGCTTCAAATTCCTTTTCTCCAAAAAACTTGACCTTTTAAGCGCAAGATGATAAAATAAGTCTTACGAAGTTGAAAAAAGCACATGGAAATAGTAGAGAGGATGAGAGTTTCTACTGAATGCTTCCAGGCTCCACTCTCAATCTTATTCGACCTCTTTATAATATGAACATCTTTACATACTTCCAAGTTTTCCGCCTTGTCCGCCTTATCAAAGCCTCACCTATGCTTGAAGACTTTGTCTATAAGGTTAGCTCCTAGCATAAGGTTCTTACATAGAAATAAAATCACATATTGCAGATTTTTGGTCCTGGAAAGAAATTAGGTGGCTTAGTCGTATTCACTATGGTACTATTATTCATCACCTCTGCCATATCATTGCAACTATTCTGTTATGTGCCAAATTTGAAAAAGTTTACCACTTTTCCAATGGTAGGAGGAAATTTCCTTCTTGGATCAGTCTATGGAAACTAAGAACCCTTCTTTTAGGCATTTATGTCAATGTTTCAAATTATCACTCAAGAAGGTTGGACGGATGTTGTCGTAGAAATACTTCGAGCTACAAATGAATCCATGGTTCCATTCGTAGCAATATACTTTGTCGGGTATCATCTACTCGTCACATTGGTAAGATCTCTCATTTTTTGTTTTGGAGATGAATATAAAGGCATAATTGTTGTTAATGAACGTTTTACGATAACTTTAGCTCCAAACAAATATTTTAATAAATTCGCTCAATAACCT